CTGTATGACTCTGCCAGATACTTGGTTTCAGCAGTGGTGCTCTGTGTCACTTATTAACTACTACAGTAGAAAATGTGATGAAGCGGGAATAATTGCAATGTAACATCACTTTTGTCAGAATTCTAACATTTTCAGCAGCTAAGTCTGACATAAATGCATCTGGATCTAGATACAAAGAATCATTTTGTGTTCACCAAGCAACAGCTTGACTCTTTCTCTGATGAGTGTGGTTTAAAACATCTGTTTTTACAGAATAGATTTTAATTTCTCAAATAAGTGTAAAGTTCAAAAGACAAAATTTTCCTTTTAGGAGAAAATGCTTTCTAACATGCCATTATAATGAATCACTTCCATCTTTCTATTTGCACTGCATTTTGAACCATAACTAAAATTGATATGAAGTTTAGGCACTCTGCTAAAACAATAATAAGAATCATGACACCTACGATACAAAGCTGTATTAAAGGGGAAACCTTTTTAAATGTGTTGACATTCGAATGTAAATTTAAAATCCCTGCTGACTCACAACACTTCCAGTGATAGCAGTGATAAGCAAGAACAGAATTTACATCTGAGTGGTTTAAGTAGCTCAAACTTGTCTATTTATCTTAATCAAAAGGTCATGGAAAATGACCTCCAAAAACATGCAACTGAAATGGGTACTGAACAATTTTTAACAGAACTGTAACAGATTCCAATTCAACTAATTAGACAAGCTATATAGTATGTTGCTATTTTGTAGAAATAAATGTTGTAAAAGCATTCACTCATTAGTTTCTCTGCAAGATTTTGAGATATAGGGTTTGAACAGTGCACACAGCATCTACAGTTTGAATAACTGTGCTTATAACTTGACTAAATAACTTAACTGAATTAGTTAGTGCAACCCCATTGAAATGACTGAGCCTACCAAAACTCACTTGAATTTGCTGAAGATTCACAGCATTGACAAATGAGAGCAGTTTCATGAGATATCACATCACTGCTGTGCTGAAATATTGAAAGTTACCGATGAAAATTATGCATGTATTTTTGTGGGTTTTAAATATTGAATAAATTATCATAGGCTTCCTTTTAAGTGCCTTGATTGTTGCCGTTTTTATGCCACAGTACTTGAGACACAGTGACACTAGGTGAAATGCATCTTGACTGACATAATATGCATTATCTGCCTTGTGAGCCATTTGTAGGGGTTTTTAGGTGGGAGGTTTTGAGAGGCAGGCTTACCCCAACAGCAGGAGAAATGTTCATAAGAAGGCTGTTTCTGACTGGCAGTGGCTTTCTTGCCTTAAATACTTCAGATGGAGTTGGCTGTGCTAGCATTCAACTGTGGGAAGAAAATTAAGGGTTGAGCTCCCAGTATGAGAGTGGGAAGTGCTTCATCAGCTGGAGCTTTGGACTTTGCCCCTTTCAGCTAGAGCTGTTGGCTTTGTCTCTCTCCTGACTTTAAACGTAAGCCTAGGAATGGGATGAACTGTATCCTGAGACACCTAGCATTGTCCCAGAGGAATGAAAAGGGTTCAGGCATAAGCTCTTTGCACAACTTCCCCAACCATTGGTCCTCCCTCTTGCATCCACACTGCAGCTGGAGCTATGGGCTTAATGTCTCTCCTAACCCTGGGCTGAGCCTTAGCCCTAGGCTTTCTAGCATGGCCCAGAAGTAACAATTTTGGGAAGATAATTCTTTCCCACCCTTCCAGGGGAGGCAGGTGTTGCTACAAAAATGGGGTACTGGAAAGAATCTACCTGTGTTGTAGGCCGACCTGAAGACTATATTGAGAAGGTCAAGCTACCCTTCCTCCTTTTGTGAGAGGTGTACCCTTGAAGAAGTTACAATTTACACATGATTTGTTTTGAATCATTGCAGTAAAAAAGAACACTGTGCCAACATCTATTTCAAGAGCAGACATTTACTGACCCTTCTGGGTGCAGGACATGACCAAATGCTATCACTGAAAAGTAGTTAATTAAAATGGCCAAAAGCATGACTAAAATGTCTAAAATGCTGCCATGAGTGGTGGTGTTTGTATGTATAGAAATGCAATGGGAGAGCCATGCAGACAAGAAGTGAAATTTTGTGGTGATGACACCACCATAAATAGTTTCAAAGCCGATGCATTTTGCTCCCATGTTCTTAAATCTGAAAGCATTCCCATTTCTAGTCACACTACTATTAAATGCCAGTTTATATGGAAAGAAGGAAACCCCTCAATCTATGCTCCATAAGTAGATGCCCCTTAAAACAAATGTTCACATAAACAAAAAATGAATTATATTTGGACCCTAGGTTTTCAAACAGGCTAAAGTACTGCAATCAACCAGATGTTCTTGTTGATGGGTCTGCAGCTATTGATTTACTCTCCTTCTCATATTGGTAACTGAAAGCTGATTCATATTCTCCCAGAATATAAATTTTAAAGAAAATAACTCTCCAGCTGAATTTACATAATTGCAGAGATTTGAGCAGTGTCAGATAGCACACAGCAAGTAGATTTTGCAAGTTGTAGTTAAATATAAACCTTTTCTTTCACTGTATACTGGAAGATGCTCTCATGCTAACACATCAGAAATACAACCTCTAAAACCCCAAATGTAAGGATGAATTTTCTGAGAAAAGTTTGCATGACATCCCCAAGTGCTCTAACATCAAGCTAAAAGACTCATATACAGCAATAATCCTAAGAATGGGAAGATCATTTGCAAAGGCTGCTCAGTAAATTCATTTCTATACTAGAACATAAATACAAAAAGTCCTCAAAAGTCACAGAGTATCATTAAATTTATGCGTAGGTGTGTATATATACATACATATGCATTAACCATCTGCTTTTTAGTAACAGAAGAAAAGGAAACATCTTGCTTATGGGTCATGCAAAATTGTGCTGAATGTAATGTGTCTAGGTGTATATTGATTGGAGGTGACGACTGACATGAGGAAAACCATACATTCAGGAGGCTACATGTATGTGGTAGTGATAAGGGGCATAGGGATAAATATATTTATTCTCTATAGCTAGAGAGAATAAATTCCTGCTGACGGGTTATCACGAATTGATGGTAATGCTGTGTGTATCTGCATATTAAAGGGGTGGGTAGTGATAATATGTATACTGGTGATGGTGGGCAGACAGTGATAGCAAGATGTGCAAGCTGTAGGAGGTGATGGGTATGCATGGTAAAATGAGTAGGTTGTAAGGATGCATATGTGATGTTGAGCATAGTGATGCAGTGGGGAGTATATAGCACTGTATGCACTGTGGTAAGATTTATGCCATGTGGACCTGCTATTCATGACAAAAGTGGGTGACAGTTTATGTGAAGAGGCAGATTGGTGTTCATACAGGTGTGATATGCTCACACATGAGTGGCTACAGCCAATAAGCAATTACTGAGTATTTTGTATGTATGCCTGTGTTGAAGGAGTGTTGATGCAGTGAGCAAGTGTGAGGGTGTGTGTACTAGTGAGTAACTATGTGTAGTTAATAGACAATGGGCAGGTGGTGGTGGTATATGGAAACTGATTAAGTGGTTATGTGTTAAGTATATAAGGACAGACTGTATACATGGAGCAGTAATGTACAGGGAGATGAGAGACATATTGCCCAGAAGGAGAGGTGTATGCGAAGGTCATGCACTGAAAAAGAACCAAACCAAAACAGAACCAAAACCACATGCAAAAAAGTATGATTGCCAGGATATAGAACATAAAGTATTAGGACTATCTGCTGGTGTTCATGTGTGCTCGGAACCGGTGGTGCGTATGAGGAGTGTAATGCAGCAGTGTCTGCCTGCAGACTGAGTAGCTATCAGTGCATATGACTGTGTTTGTTTCAGACCAGGGGGTGTATACAAAATAGCATGGAAGGGTCAGTGTGTAGAAGCAGGTTTGGGGTGTACACGTGTAGCATGGGATGTCATTTATGCATCAATGGCTATGTATCTGTAGAAGTAGTGTAAGAATGGAGATGATGTTTTGTGGAGATGATGATTTGTGTCATTATATAGTGCTAAGGAGGGTTTATAGACCGACCCTTCCTGAATACAATCCTATCAGGGACATGCCTAGGTTTTAAGTACAATATTAAGAGAACAGGGGGTTGTAGCACTGGTAATGTGATGGTCGAGCTTGAAGTGATCCTGTGAGTGGAACCAGTATCTGAAGGGACAGAAGAGTGGACAGATGGTGTGTTTGCATAGCAGCATAGCTAGGATGGTCTTGGCACTGTCAGGGTGAAAATAGTGATGGCGAGCTGTAGCGTTCAAGCTGGTGCCTGCACTCTTTGATGTGATGAACAGAGGCAGAGCATGTGCTGGGATGTCAGGTAATGTGTGCACCTGCACACTAAAGTGGTGTGTGTGTTTCAGAACAAAACATGTGGAGAGGGGCACTGAAGTAGTGTATGATGCTAGTTAGTGTGTGATGCCTGGTAGTGGTGGGACAGGACAAGGCAGGACACAAGGGTATTGCCGTTTTCAGGCAGTGCAGTGCACACAGGGTTGAAGGTTATGTGACTGGTCATAGTGCCATGCCTAGTGCCAGTGCTATGGGGTGGGCAATGTGCAGTGGGAGGTGAGGGTGACAGCAGCTGTGCAGGTATGAGGCAACCCTGCCCAGGTAACACTGCCCACCCGCCCATGACCCCGGCTTTTTAACTGAAGAAAAAGGCTGGTCCCTTTGCCTTTGGTGCCCCTGCCCAGACCCAGGTGCCATGGGGGGCGGGGGGGGCGGTGCAGAATGGAGGGGGAGGAGAGGATGCTGCGAGGGAAGGGGGGAAGTGCACAGTGGAGGAAACAATACTGGACGGGGAGAGAGAGGGGATGGGGGTGTGGGGTGCATTGCGATGTGGGGGCAGCGGGGACAGGGGGAGGCTGTACTGCCAGAGCAGAGAACGGCCGGAGGGCGGGATGGGAGGCGGGCGGGCGGCGGGAGTGGGCTGGGAGGGACACCCACTTACGTCTCCTCCAGCATTTTTTTCCCCGTCTTTCCCTCCTCCTTTTAGTGGCTGGTGACGAGCCGCTGCCTATTAATCATTCACCAGCCGGAGAGCGACAATAACCGCCAGCCACCCGGAGCGAGCGGCGCCGGCAGCCGCCTCCTTCCCGCTGCTGGGACCCGCCGAACCGGGAGCCCCTCCAGGATGCAGGACCGGGCCGGCGGCGGGCGCCTGCTGCTCTGAGCCGGCGGCGGGGAGCTCCAGGCAGAGGATGCTCCCCAATGGCACCTGCACCAGGCTTCCGGGCGGTGCAGGCAGCGGCAGCGGCGGCGGAGCCGGCAGTGCCTCGGAGGAGGCTGCGGCGGGGGGCATGGACTCAGGCGGCAGGAACTCCTCCGGCGCCCCGAACAGCACCCTGAGTGAGTCTCAGGGCAGCGCTATCCTCATCTCATTCATCTACTCCGTGGTGTGCCTGGTCGGGCTGTGTGGCAACTCCATGGTCATCTATGTGATCCTACGCTATGCCAAGATGAAGACGGCCACCAACATCTACATCCTCAACTTGGCCATCGCAGATGAGCTGCTGATGCTCAGCGTCCCCTTTCTGGTCACCTCCACCCTGCTGCACCACTGGCCCTTCGGCTCACTGCTCTGCCGCCTGGTGCTCAGTGTGGATGCCATCAACATGTTCACCAGCATCTATTGCCTGACTGTGCTCAGTGTGGACCGCTACATTGCCGTAGTGCACCCCATCAAGGCAGCTAGGTACCGCCGTCCCACTGTGGCTAAAATGGTCAATCTGGGTGTCTGGGTGCTTTCCATCCTCATCATCCTGCCCATCATCATCTTCTCCAACACAGCAGCCAACAGTGATGGAACAGTGGCTTGCAACATGCTCATGCCAGAGCCCACACAGAGGTGGTTGGTGGTCTTTGTAGTCTACACTTTTCTGATGGGCTTCTTGCTACCTGTGGTGGCCATCTGTCTCTGCTACATCCTCATCATTGCCAAGATGCGCATGGTGGCCCTGAAGGCTGGCTGGCAGCAACGCAAACGCTCGGAGCGCAAGATCACTCTCATGGTCATGATGGTGGTGATGGTCTTTGTCATCTGCTGGATGCCCTTCTACATTGTGCAGCTGGTCAATGTCTTTGTAGAGCAGGATGATGCCACCATCAGCCAGCTTTCTGTCATCTTGGGTTATGCCAACAGCTGTGCCAACCCCATTCTCTATGGCTTTCTCTCGGACAATTTCAAGCGGTCCTTCCAGCGGCTGCTCTGCCTCAGTTGGATGGACAATGCTGCAGAGGAACCCATCGACTACTATGCCACTGCTCTCAAGAGCAGAGCATACAGCGTGGAGGACTTTCCCCCAGACAACTTGGAGTCAGGGAGCATGTACAGGAATGGCACTTGCACCTCCAGGATTACCACCCTCTGAGGAAGCATTCCTGACCCCCTGCTCCCCTACTGCCCCCAGCAGGAGGGTGAGAAAGTCCAGGGCTGTGGCATGGGGGAGCTGGGAGGGAGGGGGTTTTTGTCCTGCCCAACAACAGCATTGTTTGGCAGAGGAAGTGAAGAAAACCCTACATCCTAGGTCTGCTGCCCCATCCCCGACCCCTATCTGCCTCCCTTGAGAGCAGGTGCATTTGCTGATGCTTTGACACCCACTTAACAAATTGCCACACTTATGGGTCATCTTAGGGTCTGTCAGCCAAGCTCTGCTACCCTTCTCTGTCTGACTAGTGGCTGTAAGGGTCCTACAACAATTCTCCCTCACCTTTTATACAGGTTGCCCTCCCGCTCAGTCGGTGGGACCCCCAGGCCACTGAGTCAAGCCTGCCTCAGTCAAACCCCACCATTCAGGCTCAGACTCCCCCTGACTGAAAGTGACCCTGCTCAGCATGTCAGTGTACACCTTCTCTTCAGAGAGCAGAAATGCTGGGGAAAAGTCCCCGCCAACACACCTTGCCCTCCCCCAGGAAGGAGCGAGTAGCCTCTCTCTGTCCCACCCTCCCCCCAGGAATAAAAAAGAAAGTAGGGAGCAAAAAGGCCCCGAGAAAAGAAGTGGTACAGTCATGGAGCTGTCTTCTGCTTTGCAGACAGCTTCACTTCACTGGGGCTCTGGCTGTCTGTGCTATGTTCAGAGGAAGCAGGGCAGAAAAGGTCTTTGGAAAAAAAATCTGATTATTGCTGTGCTTCCGAGCTACACAGCAGCTTGCTGATGAAGGGAGATAAACAGTTCTGTGACTCACAGGGAGTAGAGCACTGAGCAGGGAGCTGGGGGGACTGCTGAGCTGAGAAATGTTTGAATGTGTCCATATATATGATAAAGTGTGCTAATAATAAAGTTTAAAGGGAGTGCTAAACTGTGAAGCTACTGTCTTGTGCCTGCTCCATCAGCTGTGAAACAGCGATGAAGGGAGCTCAGATGGTTTTGAATGTCCTGGGTGGCTGCAAAGTCACTCTAGCCTACATGGAAAATAAAAGGATTAGTTTCAAAATCCCCATCAGGCTCTGAAATAAATACTTGACAAAAAAAGTAGCTGTTTGAGAATAGCTATTACTCTAGCTCCAGTTTCTTCTGTTGCACTAAAAAACCATAAAATGGGTTTCATATGTTGCCAATGTAATATACTGGCCCAGAGCTTCTTAATGTTTCATTTCTGAGAATTTATGGGTTTAGTGTGTGCCAGATGTCTTTTTGTTTGATTTTTCTATTTGATTCTTGTCACTGTGTTGTGAACGTGTTTCTCTGAAGCAATCTGTACTGTGTACTTATGTCTGTGGTGGCTACTTGCAAGGTTGCATTTAAAATGGGTGATGCTCAAAAAGGCTCCTTTTCTGATAAAAAGGTTGTCACTTTTTCTAACTCTTTCATCTACACTGTTTCCCCCACAAAAATTCTCTCTCCGGAATTTTCTCTCTTCCCTTCTTATGACAGAACAATTTTCATATACATGAATGAAGCTTTCTTGTTTGATAAATGACAGCTGACTAAACAAACCCTTCTATCCATGATCCCTCTTATCCCAAGCATAAGAATCCGTACGGGACTCTGTTGAAATAATGAGCTATGTTTTTTGCTTTCTACCACCTATGTTAACAGTGTCACACAGTGACAGGTGTGCTGGTAGCTGTGATAAACCACTTCCCTAGCACAATACTGTTAGTTGTATTCATTATAACTACAGGCAATCTGAAGCAAGAGATTGGGAAAAATCTCTAGTAGCAGCATACCCATAGCATTGTACTGGTAACTACAGTGCTTAAGTACAGTGTTAAGTGTAAGGTCGACAATTAAAGCATCTAGAATTTGCGGTGGTGGACTTTCTACAGGTTTTTGTTAAATTATACTGCTTAACTTTTCTCAGCAGCAAAAAGCAGGATTCTACTTTGTACATTTCTTTCACCAAAAATTAGATACTGTTAAATGAATGTATAAATTTAGTATTTCAAAGTTGTCTGATTCAAAGGCCATTGAAATGAGAGAGAAAAAAAACTTAATTCATTTCCATGGACTGTGAGTCAGCTCCTTTTAGTTTAAAAATTGCTAATGTGGAAGCTGTTACATCCTTATTAAAATATTTCGTGAAAAGCTTTTACAATTGTACAGTTTCTTTTCTTTTACTTCCCAGTGGACTTCATTCAATGAAAACATGTAAATATTAATTTTGATAATGGTTTACATGCACGTGTGGGAGAAAAAAAAGGATGAAATATCTTTATAAGCTTATTTAACTTTTCACAGAAACCAAACATCTGTGAAAACAGTAAAATGCCCCAGGATTCCACACCATGCTATTTGCAGAGTTTCACCTAAAATCTCACTCATGATCTCTTCAAAATGATATAAATCTCATAATCTTATGTGGTCTTTTTCACACAGGCGTATTGTTATGTACGGTCAGATTAAATAGAGAGTCAGTCTACTTTCTACTGGTGGATTTGCTTAATATCTGACACAATGAAGCAAAAGTTAGAAAGCCAGTACTCAGCTCTGATGGAGAGTTGAGTCTGGTTTTGTTTATTTTCAATTTATTTTACTTTGCCTTTAAACAAAGCTGTGGTGGACGCCTGCACACCCACCTGTACACTTATTTCTTCATTTTCAGTTGTTGCAGGCAGACGGCCATGGTGATGTTCAGAGTGGGCAGGGCAGGCAAGGGCTGTCGCGGGGCCTGTAGTACCTCGGTAGATGGCAGGCTTGCCCTCCGCTGGGTACAGCCAGCAGTGCCTCTGGTATTACCGGCTAAAACACCTTGTGTCGCTTTCAGTTGGAAACAAAATCTTTTTTATCCTAAACTATCAGTTCTTCCTGCTGTTTTTCACCCTTTAGTTTGGCTGTAGTTAGTTTAGTTTGACTGTGGCAGTGGGAGAGCTGTTCAACAGCTGTAAATCACTCTTAATTTGCTCTGGAAGAAAAAGTGAGTTCGTTCTGTGTTATTATTCTACATAACAGAATATAACTACCAGAAAAAAAAAAACAACAAACAAACCACCCAAAAACCAAAAAACCACATTGTCCTCATTAAATAACCTGTACCAGAAAACAAGCGTAGTTCTTTTTAATGCTTTCCAAACTGCAAATAAGTCTCCAAATTTCATATGGAAATGATCTGAAATAATGCTTAATTAACTAAAAAATCACTACCCAGAGGTGGGGTAGCTCTGAAGAGTATCTAGTCAATGCATTGGACTATTTCCCGTGGTACACACAAGAGAGAATTTTCTTCACATGGAACATACATCAGGTGCCTCTGCAGCATTTTCCCACTCAAGGGAGGGTACACAGGAAATTACTCTGCTTTCTCACCAGGCTTCCCAGCACAGTAGTAAAGAAACATCTCATAATCCTGGGACTGACTGCTGTGTGCAGCTAGTGGGCTTGAACCAGACGGGTTGTAGATGCACTTTATATCTGGGCTGTGAATGAAAAAGTGAGGCCACATGCAGATCCTCTGCCTCTTGAGATTGTCCTACAGCAGAGAACATCATGCAGTAAATGGTTTCTTTGCATTCAGCATCTAAAGTACCCATGTGATTTCTTCTTAGAGAAGGAGAAACAGATTTCTGAATATGAGGTAAGCATTTCTGAAATGCCAGGTTTCCAGTGAATAGGAATTAAAAAAAAAAAAAAAAAAAAAAGGCTTTCTGGTTGTTTCTGAAAAACTAAATGTCTGCTTTTCAAATGTACGTGGCACACTCTTATTAACACTGTGACCATACACTGTATTTTAACCAGTTTCCAAAATTCAGCATTCTACTTTTAAATATTAAAGTAAATCTTACTGAAATAAAATAACCTGCTGATGAGTAAGTTATGTAAGATTTGACTGTTCTCTGCCATGTTTCCAGCAGTGTAAATCCTGCCCCCTAAAAATCCAAGAAAAATAGTAGCAAAAAAAACCCCAACCAAACAAAACCCAACCAATCAGAAGAAATAAATTAGCCAAGAAAGTAACATCAATCCAGCATTCTAGACTATGTAATTTCAGCCCTTAGAAACCTTACCTGAGTCCAGGGCTCTACAGACTGAATTATGAATCTCTAGAGGAGAATAAAATGTTTCTGCTGCATTGTGCATTCAGCACTTCCATCCTCTTCAACACAGAGCCTTACTGGGTGTGTAACTGCAGGCTAGGCCACAGGAAAAAAGGGTAATTTACTGATTGGATTTTTGTCTGAGAATAATGCTTTTAGATGTTGCATTTTGTAGAGAGAAATAGCCAAGACAAACAGGTGAACCAGAGAGTATTTCAAAGTATGTCACTAGACGGCTACAAACCAAGCACAATTTTGATCAAAAAAAGATGCTTTTTTTCTTCTACTATCCCATTTCCCAAAAAAGTCTTCTTTTTTTCTTTTTTTCACAGGTTTTTATGCTGCATCATATGTCTTGGGGTCACTCTGTGGGTTCTTGAGCTTCCTAAATAGAAAGGCTCAGATAAAAGTAAAAGTACCCGAATGCATAGCATATGGAGATTGAAGGAACAGATTTATATCTTGGGACCTGCTGATCGCTGTGATGAGCACTGGAATTGAACTGCATGGCTCAGCTTACCTTGTTGGTGACAGGGCTATTTTTTGTGCATGTGGGCCCTACAAAACATAAAACTCTGTAAGACAACCCAGAGGGAAGCTGTGAGCTTCTGCAAGGGTTCTGTAATTTCCTGCACTCTGTAACACTGAACAGCACTGAGGAACATAAGTTCCAGTGCTGACAGATTGGTAAGAGCAAAGTTCCACAATTGCAACTAACTCATAAAGGACTTGCAGGCACTCTAACATAAAACAGCAAGCTCAAATGATTGCTGGTCAGCTGGAATAGTTCGAAACATGGCAAAGCTGTACAAAGCAAGTATGTATGAGTATACACACACATATACAACATGCATGTGTATATATATGCTACATTATTGTACATCTTAAGCTTCTTATTTGGTCCATTACAAAGGGATAAATCAAAATGTATATTGGTTATAAAGGAATTAATGGTTAGTAAAATTCAGATTCCAGCTGCTAAACAGGTAGCACATTTTTGCCATTTAGGCAATAGCAAGTCTTTGTTTTGGTTTTGTACTGCTCTGACATGTATTGGAAATTGGAGTGTAATTCTGCTACGGAGATGAGTCAGTGGCTGGAGAGGCTGAAGCTGGTAGGAGAAGTTGATCTTGAAGGAAAAAGGTGTGACTAGTGTCACTGCTTTATTGAGCAGAAAATCAATACGGGCATTAGTGAGCTTGTTTTCCTAACATTGCAGCAGAATTATTTTGTATATCATTTGGTCACAGAAAGAGAGAAGACAATTTTAGAAGCTAAACTGAGTGTACAATATTGTGAAGAAGCTTTCTTAAAGAAATTTCATATGTCTTCATGCAAACTAGAACAACTTCAATATTAAAATATGCTTATTCATGTAATCATAGAATGGTTAGGGTTGGAAGGGACCTTAAATATCACCCAGTTCCACCCTTCTGCCATGGGCAGGGACAACTTCCATTAGACCAGATTACTCAAAACCCCATCCAACCTGGTCTTCAACACTTCCAGGAATGGGGCATCCACAACTTCTCAAACTCAAAGTCTTGCAATCTTAAAGTAAATCAGAAAAGTGGCACATACACATGTCAGATTTTCTATTCTATTTCCCAAAGCATTTGCTGTCACAGAGAGATTACTGATTTAGATTATTTTTAATCTTACTCAAACTATCTGTTCTCCACCTCTACGGCTGCCTACAGGGACCTTGCCGACAAGTCTGCAATGCAAAAAAAGGTAAAAGGCTTGCAAGCAGACGACTTCCTGTTCACTTTCACATTCCAGCCTCCCAGTCCCAGAGCTCTGCAAGTCCAGAGGAGAAAAGCAAAGCTGCACACTGGGGAAAGAAGGAGAGGCATGAGGTTTAACTTATTTTGAAGCCCTGGGAGAGTGGTTACTGCTGCTGTCTTGCCATTTGCCTTTCAAGTGAGTTATATATCATTACTGAAACATGTGAATCACCACTCTACAGCCTTGATAAATTTCTACATCCTGAAGAAACAGAAAATGCTATTTCTGATATAACTAAGTTGCATGTACCAGTCATTAAGGTCCACGCAATATATGAGCAAAGATAATAAGGGCTGAAACCATGAGAAAAAAATGATTAAGTGATAGGAAGTTATACTTCCCAAGGGAAGCACAGAATCAATTTTTTAATCTTCTTTAAGCTATATACTACACTTGAAAAAAGTTCTTTGAAGTATTTGAATTTTGCTTATGTCCACTTTTAGATTTCACTTTAATCCCATAACACTTACTCAAGCCCTCAACTGTATGAGTCCTTACTTAAAAAAAAATGGGGAAAATGAAAATTGCATTTCTTATTCTCTGGTGAATACAAACCATTAAAAATTTGTCACATATTCATGAACAGCATGTAGAGCTGACAAATGATATGCCTACCAGTCAAACTATATTTGCAGGAATTAAGGAAATCTAAAAATTAGATTTATTGATTGGAAACAAGGGGCATTTTTGGTGTGTTTTAACAGGCATTTAAACGTGAGTAGCCTCCCTAGACTTTCTTTACAGTCAATGCAGAGAAATGGCACTTTGAGAATGCAATTCACTGGCCCTATTTTCATCATCTAGTCCAAGTTTCTGAAAGAAACTGCAAGTACACACTTCTCTCTAGGCTATAAGAGAGTCTAAGTTAGCAAGACAAGTGTAGATGAGATGTCTACACCTGGTGAGGTGGATCCCATCCTTAGGTGCATAATAGTCTGGTTTCAGCTGACTCAAATTTTAAACCAGGGAAAACATAACAGAGACCTTGTGTAGTCTTTTAGACAAATGCCTAATGCTTCCTTCTGAAGCCTGAGTATGAGAAAAAGAACTCTTAAGTCAAAATGTGATTTCACAAGAAGCCAAGGCAAAGAGCGAAATGAAAATAATAAGATGAGACAGGTGAATGGTTTGTAAGAGCATGAACTTCTGCATTTTGACAGAATAGTCTGAGTTAAATCCTGAGAGACACCAAAGAAGTAGTCAGTTACAGACACTCAACTTAGCACTTAGCTGTGTGCTTGACAAGACTCCTGAAACAGAGAACAAAAGTATTTCTAGAGCTTAGAAAAAAAATAGCTGGACAGTTGTATAGTCCTACTGAGCCATCTTATATGTGGGAAAGAGAAAAACACAGAAATAATAATTTAGGGAAGCTTGCATTCATCTTAGCTGTTATTTGCTTATACTGCCCCTTGTAGAGGAACAGAGTTCCTCATAGGCTGCACCCTCAAAGAAATTACCTACAGCAACAGTAGTAACAGGAGTGGTATTAAGACAAAACGCATTAATGGCTAAGCCATTTTTCAAATCTGTATACATCTGAATGTAGGATCAAGCTTCCTACTGAAGTGAAAAAATGCCTGTCCTCTGAAACAGAAATGTCAGATAACCAGATTACAAGAGTATGAGACAGCTTTGTAGTCAGTAGCATTCTCACCTAGCTGGATTTAATTTCTGTCATGATACAATAGATTTTATGGCTACAGACAGCCTGATGGGTCACAAATGGCTGTGATCTCCTTAACAAAAGCAAAAAAACCTTTCCCAGATAGCAGCAACCTACCATCATTAAGCAGACAGAGAGGGAAAATGAAAAAGCGCACGCCACATCATATTTTATCCTCAGCAGATGTTTACACCATATTAATCTTCAAGTCTTTGCATGCAAGAAAAATAATAATACACATTATTGTTTGAAATGGAGTTCACTACACTCAACGGGAAAGTGGCAAAGTGAAAGCAATAGTCAGGTCAGCTCTAAAGAGAGGAAAAGAAACAACAAAAAAAAAAAGCCTATTAAAAAAAAAAAAACCACCAACCACGACCAAAAAAAAAAAAAAACAACAAAAACAAAAAACCCCACAACAACAACAACAACAAAAAAAAAAACCACCACCAAAAGCAACATTTCAGATTTTAAAGTTCTTTCATTACCCTTCCCACACCCCAAAAAGCTTGGATGAGATCCAGTTAGTTGTGTCTTACTGCACTAAGAAAACCTTGAATCAATATTTAGAATTACCACTTTAATTGAAAACCAGCACCATATTAAGAAGTGAGCATCAGCACTCAGAACTGCACAGAAAGCAAGTTCTGGCACCAGGAGGAAAGCTGCTCTACAGGAATTCCCAGGGGAAACCACAGAGGAACTGTTTACCTCATTTAGAAAGGGGCACAAAGGGTGAATTCTTCCACCCTTACTCTCCACGGACTCCATGGAAAACGACTTATATAACTAAAAAGAAGGGGACTTGCATGATGTATTTTAACACACGATAACGCCTCACAGAGTGTGGTCTGTCATCACCTTGTCCGAGTGTAAGGGAGCCATGCATTGCATGCAGAAGACGTTTTGTATCAACGCACTTGGGGAGAAAAGCTGTAACTGAAAAATGTGTTGCTCTGCTACAATAAAAATATTGTATGAAGTAACAAACAGAGCAGTGATTTAGGTTTTACATCATCCTTTATTCTTTTCATCAGCTGAAGTATAAAATTGACTTTCTATTAACCTCCCATTGCCTCAGCAATTTAATGACCTTCTAAGTATAGAAATGCTTTTCATTTTTAAGGATGTCAGCCTGGAAGAGTATAGGTCACAGTTTTCTCCAGAAGTGTGGCAATTCACCTCTCCAAACGTTTCAGCAATTAGCAAGAACAGGAGAGCTTCCAAGTACCACTCAGAGAATGAGTGATTTCTGAATTACAAGACGTGAGTGCTCACTGTGCTCCCTCACACTTGCTCCAAGGCACACGAACAGTTTCTGAGAGGATAAAACCCCACAACGGTTGCAGCTACAGATAAGTAACCGCTGTGTTGGCCAGGCTGCTGCATTTATGTTTATGTCAGCACCTGAATAACTGTTTTTCGGACCAGCGAAAAATCTTGGCTGTCTAAAGGCTTCAAAGCCCTGACAAGGGGGCAGCCGCCTGTTCCACATTGACAAGTCCTTCTCAGCCAAGTCCCAAGGCGCCTATTCCTCGTCTCCCCGGGCAGCCGGACTGGAGCAGAGGGGCCGGGGGAGCCGAGCGCCGGCCCGGGTGGGAGTTGCCGCTCGGGGCAGCCCCGAGGGACAGGGCTCCGGCCGCCCCGAGGCTACTCGCCGCCCGCTGCTTCGCTTGGCTCCCCGGAGCCGGCCGCTGCCTTGCTGCCAGCCTCCGGCGGCTGTCTGTCCTCGCGGCCCTCGGATTTCTTATTGAAGCAGAGCTTGAAGACTCCCAGGACGGTCATGACCAGGATGACGAGCACCACCACCGCGACCGTCACCAGGATGAAAACGTAGTTGGAGGAGGAGGAGGGCAGGGCAGCAGCTGTCTTCTCTCCGCCTGAGGCTGCGGTGGGGGCCGCGGGCGGTCCCGCAGGGCCGCCGGGTGTCGGGGCATGAGGGCGGCGCTCGTCCGCCCCAGCACTCGACGGCTCCGCAGGGCCGCCCGCAGTGGTGGGAGCCGCCCCCATGGCCACGCAAGGAGTCCCATCCCGCTCGCCTGTGGTGCAGGCACAGGCGAATCGGCCGGCGGCATCGCGGCACCCGGCGGTCTGGGAGCATCGCCCGATGGCGGGGCGCCGGTGATGGAAAGGGCAGGGGCAGAGGGGCCCTTCTGCCCCCTGCCAGGCGAAGCCGCCCCGCTCGGGCCTGCAGGTGAGCCGCACCTCCCCGCCGGAGCACACCACGGTGAGCACGGTGCCCGGCGGGCTGAAGCCGGGGCCGACGCTGCGCTCCTCGAAGGGGAGGCTGTAGTCAAGGCCGAGTGCGCCCGTTGGGCTGAGATCGGGGCAGGCTCCCTCGTACTGGTACTTGCAGACGTAGCCCTGGCTCTCCCGCGGGCAGAGCCGTTCCTTCCATCCCCAGCTGGGGCCGCCGTCGGGGGACGCCGCCGCCTCTAGGTGCAGCCCAGCGCAGCGAGCTGCGAGACAGGACCGCACGGGCTCCTTCACCCACCGTCCGAGCGCCGCCGGCACCTCCTGCGGGGCCGCCCCGCCGCCGGTGCCCTCCCAGGAGAAGCCGCGGAGCGGCTGCCCTGCGTCGGTGCAGGCGGAGGCGTTCCTCTTCAGCCCGACCCAGAAGAGCGAGGGCGCGGACCCCGCCGCCGCATCTGCCAGCAACCCCAGCAGCAGGCGTAGCTCCTGCTCGCCGCTGAGCCAGGCCAGGCTGCCCCGCCGCCCGCCGCAGGCAGCGCGGGCTTCGGCGTACGAGGCGTTGGCGAGGTGGGCGCTGAAGCAGGCACCGGCGGCCTGGCAGCGCACGGCGGCCCGCGGTGGCGGCGAGGGCCGGGCCAGGGCGCAGGCCGCGGCCAGGAGTAGGCACCAGGGCCCTGCCCGCCTCATCCTGGCGGCGCAGAGGGCGGCGAGGCAGCACCGCACGGACAGCCCCGACAGCTGTAGCGGAGCTCGGCCCCAGCTCAGGCTGGCCTCGGCTGCCCGTGCCGTCCCGCCCCAGCGCGGTTCCCTCGCCCAGGGCCCTCCCCCCGACCTGCCGGAGGAAACGTGTCGGGAGCCGGGGTTGACCTCGGCATCCTTCGTTTGTTGGCGGGCGGGTGAAAAGCAGCGACCTGCGCTGCCAGGAAGCGTTGGCCCTGCCCGCCGGCTGCTTGTCCAGCCTCGGAGGAGGACGGGGGTGGAAAATCCCAGTGCCTGCTCCGCTGTTGGAGGGGTAGGAGGTTGGCGAGGTCCAGAGCTGCAAGGGCGGGGCCAGGGTCACAGCCTGTCTCACGCCTGTGCCTGGGAGATGCTCCTATTGCACAGCAGTTCCAGGAGAAAAGTGGTCCAGGTACAGCGACCTCTTTCTGAAAGATGGAGGATTCTGGGTTAGGTGCAGCTGTGCAATGAACCCCCTTACTCCAAAACCATGAGACAGTTTAACACTCACAAAAGCTGATTCAGCTGTTTAAAGCAAGTTGGCCTAAATGCATTGAACATGAGATGCCTGCAATGACGTTCAGTAGATTCTTAAAGAAATTTAACTGATCCACTGCAACTGTTGCTCTTTAGGTAATATGTGTGTTGCCTCATTTTCATATTCCTTATTGTGATGTCTATCTGCAGTTACCAGATACGTGCATTCAGATACAAAACACATCCAAGTCTCTTTCCCAGGTATTTTATATGGCACAAGATGAGGCATGTATGTGTGCATTCCATTTTTTAGCTTTCCCTTTGGAAGAATTCCTGTTGATGTTGTTGTTTTTTCGTGGTATACAATACAAATTCCTAGTATTTGAATACATAAGAGAGAAAAAAAAAAAAAGGATGAAAAACCAGAAAATAAATAAACTATTTGCAAGTAAAAAAAAAAAAAAAAAAAAAAAAACAAACAAAAAACCCCAGTAAGGTTCCTCAGTAGTTGCAATCTGTGAACATTTGAGTTACACAGTCTTTTATCAATGGTCCAGATAGATTCAGTCTACCTGCACAAAGTGCCCTCGCTGCTCCAGAATGTTCGTAGGCTCTGCATTTGTTCAGCCTTTCTTAAGAATTTAACTTCTCTGCAGTGAGAACAAATATGATGACAAGACCCATTTAGCCAGCTTGTGACCTACTGGCACAGATCTCAATGTAGGCCTACAGAGAGATAGAACGTTTTCTCTGGACACTTCAAGAGTAAGAAAGGCAGGTGTACAGACTACATCAAATGTTGCCTATATTCTGACAGGTTTTATAATTCAAGAGCTATTAAATTGCTTTAGTAAAAATAATTGCACTACATTTGCTACATGTAACTGGGCATGTAATTAAATTTGGATGCCAGTAGAGTTGATTTTGTGGAATATAGGTTTTCATAATAAAGCAAGAATGGTTGGATTATTTCTAGATGAAATCAAATTTTGGTTAATCAAGGTGTAGAGATAACACAGGCACCAAAGCCAAAATCTACAGTGTTGTAGCAGCTATGTTTTCAGAGGTCTGGTGACTACTTCAGTTGTCATTCCCACGTTTATTCTTCTTCACAGTCCGTCAGGACAGAGGCATGGAAAACCACATGCCTGTGCAGCTGAGCATGGGGAGATACTCACTGTCTGCCTGAACTGGAAAGGTGCATTTCGGTTTGGTTTAGGAAGCTTTTTCATCTAGTATTCAGATCTCTAGTTCTCCACTGGATCTGGCAAATGTACCTAAACTAAATAAACCAAGTTCCTTTAGGCCTTTGATGTTTCTTTAGGATGTACAAAAGCTAAGCTTCTGCAAATACCTGTCAGGTTAGTATCTTGAGCCATTTTCCCCAAATGAGCTTGATAGGTTTGAGAGAGAAGAGAGGTTGATATAGATTTAGCACTGCTATCTTACTAGGGAATGTTGATGAGGATTTGCCTAATATGCCTCTGCAATCCTACAGCTTCAGTTTGTTTTCTCTTTCAAAACAGTCCATTTATTATAGCTAAATAGAAAGTAACCTTTCTAAATAGAAGGAATTATGTAGAAGCCCCAGAATTTCCATTTTATGCTTCAGACCTAAGGCTCTGTACCTAAGGAGGAGGAAGCAGCTCTGTCCATGGAAACATTTGCTCCCTTGCTTCCCTTGTCAGCTGTCAACAAAGGCATGAGTTGAGCTGTCTGGGATGGCCTTTCCACCAGGTAATTGACAGTTACTACTGGCTCATTTCACACAGGCTGTGACTTTAATTTCCTAAGCTGTATTTGAAGAAGCAATTTAGAAACAACAAGTTAGTCACTAGTGCCCCAGGCAGTCCAGTCTTATCAGAGGAACTCATACTGCACAGAAGGATGAAAACACTGCGTGCCAAAGCTGAAGTCTTTTGCCAGCAGGAAATGGAGACAGCTGTACATCTGCTTGATCTGCCTGTATACCTGCTCTTCGCTCCCAGAGCTGCCCCTAAAGTCCTGCAGAACATTTTAAAAATAACAGGTCTGCTGGATTTCCAGAAATGAGCTCGTTTTAGGTAAATAAGAAAACTCTCTTTCACTGTTTTCATGGGCTTTTCCTGAAGAAATCCTTTCTTGAAAGAGAGGATTAGTGCTCACTCACACACAAATGTTGGTACCCATCAGCATGTGAGGGAACTAAATTTCTACATACGAAACCCACTTTATTACATGAATGTGATTCATGTGCAAGTCCTAATGTAGTTGTTTTGGTCAGTAGAAAAGCCTTATTTAGCTGTAGACTTATGCCTGTAAGATCTGAGCCTTTGAAAAAGCAGTGGATTGCTTTAATTGTAATTTCACTAAGAGCCATTAGTTTTTTTGTTTCATTATGTAACTGAATCTCTTTTATAACAATATGTACATTTTGACTAAGGAGTAACGTGAGAAGGGCTGAATTAATAAAGATAATTTTCTCTTTTAGGGTGGATTTTTTTCTCTATTCTTTATAAGGTAAATTAAAAGTATTCTTTTTGTGACTAACCAGGAAATATGTCAGCCATGTGCAAGCAAATACTTTGCAACTGCTGGGTCTTAAGGGGATATATTTTCATTAGAAGTAGTCTTGTAGAGATACAGTATCCTGTTCTTGCTAAGAGCTATATTGTGCTTCACAGGGACACATGTGTGGTACAGAAAAAGAGATCTGCCTGGCTGCGAAGCGAACAAGTGAAATGATCACATAACACTGTGATGCACAGGGCACGACTAAGGTCACTAAAGTGTCTGTGACACATCTAATCGCCAAAGGGATACAGCAAAATGTCCAGAAATGGATCTGTCACCACAAAACCTGGAAACAATGTCTAACAGCAGAAGCAGCTGTAGCATCTCTTTGTTCCTAGTACAAGGGAAGGCTGCTAAAGTGCACCTCCTTTTATCACCTCCTCTGTGCAGGTGAAGAAACATATTGTGGTCTGTTGATACAGATTTCTTTGGGGTTGGAAACCTTGGAGAGGGAGAAAAAAGGAAGAAGATATTCTGGCAGCACTGCCTCTCTGCATGGCTCATCTTTTAGCTTGTGGCAACCTTCTGGAGTCCACACAGGTTGGAGTTGGAGACACACCAGTTGGCAGTGGAGAGGCTGTATTGGCCCTATGAGCCCTCTTCTGCCCCCTTGATCCAGCCTACTAGATCCAGACATCCTTCTGCTGGATTTATTGTGAGCAAAGCCAAAACACATTCCCAGTCTTTCAGTGCTCTATTAAGACACAGGTAGTAATTTAAACAACCCAATGGAAACAGGTATTTCAAAAAGTGAGAATCAGTTGTTTGGCAGTGTGCCACAAAAGCTGTGCATTAAATCCTCCTTTCCTCACTCAGTGCTTCATGAAGTTGATATATGTATTTAAGAAGTGGTTTATCAAATAAGACAGCCACAAATTTCACATTAAGTTGTGTTTAAGCAAAGTATTTTCTCACTAAAGGGTTATATTCTTCTTTAAACCCTCTTGAAGTTAACAAGAACTGTCATATTTCAAGTGTGCCAAGATTTCTCATTAATTTCCCTGCATTCAGTCAAACAACTTGCAAGAGGGAGTAAAAAATCAATTTTCCAGGGAAAAGGATAGGAAGTGAAAATAAGAATTTTCATCTTATTGTAACAACTTGCGCGACCATAAGAATTTAATTATTCGTCTCTTAGAAGGACTACAAGGTTCACTTCCATGGTTTGGAAAAGATAACCCAGCACAGGTCATGCAAGTTCCTGTCTACTGTAATAACAATTTCCAGTGACGTTATCACTTAGCTATGGGACTTTCATTAAAAACAAGGAATGACATTTGTGGTTCACTGCTGTGAACACAGTGGTGCATCTGTTACATTTATGACATGGACATGAAATAAAACAAAACCTGACCTGCTGAAGGGATATTTAATAGATGGACTGCACTGGCAATACCAAACAAATAAAAAGATGTGGCCGTAACATTACCATGCATATGTTCCCCTTAAAGCCTGTTCAGTTTTGATGTTCATGTTTTCATTACTAATTATGCAAAAAGAAAAAAAAAATATATATTCTGTTAACACTTCCATTCTCTTTAATGAGTTATTAAGAAAGATTCCAATCCTGTAATTAGCTGGGGGAAATGAACTCCAGAGCTTTCAAATTAAACACTTAAAATATTTTCCAAAAATACTGTAGTCCATAAATTTATTTTTTTTTTGTTCTCAGTCTAGCCCACTTTCCTTCCTTTTGTTGACTGGATATTTGCTATTCATTCTGTCCCAGCCTTCAGATTCTTCACATCTCCTGTATTATGTAGCACTGTCTGGTTGCCCCATTTGAGCTTCATGTTCAGGGGTTCCCCAGAACTGGAGGTAGGGTATGACCATATGGTCTAGTTTGCAGTTAACAACGTCAAAAATAGCAAGAGCCCTAAAATGTGTCATGGTGTGATCAATTTCCACTGCATCATCTTCACTTTTCTCTGTACCTTGAATAGCAACACCCAGCAGTGGTGAGAGCTTTGACTAGTTTGATATATTTTATTGGTCCATATGAAGTGTCCTCATGGTGCAGAATCTGAGCTTTCAGTTGTGCTTGTGTGCAACTATATTTAGATGTTTGTATGTATATCTATGGGATGGGATGGGAAAGGACAAAACAGGAGAGAAGTAGAATACAATACAATACAATAGGCTGAGCATGCAACACAGGGTTAAGTTGAGGGAATGG